CAGTGTCCCCATGTCCCCACTCACACCGAGGTCACCCCGGGTATGATGTTGACACAGGCGGCCAAACGCTGCTGGACCAGAGCCCTGGAAGGGACAGGACAGTGTCACCTGCTGTGTCACCTGCTGTGTCACCTGCTGTGTCACCTGCTGTGTCACCTCCTGTGTCACCTCCTGTGTCACCTCCTGTGTCACCTGCTGTGTCACCCCCTGGGACGGGGACAGGACAGTGTCACCTGCTGTGTCACCTCCTGTGTCACCTCCTGTGTCACCTGCTGTGTCACCTCCTGTGTCACCTCCTGTGTCACCTCCTGTGTCACCTGCTGTGTCACCTGCTGTGTCACCTCCTGTGTCACCTGTCACAGCCTGGTGTCACCCCCTGGGACAGGGACAGGACAGTGTCACCTGCTGTGTCACCTGCTGTGTCACCTCCTGTGTCACCTCCCGGTGTCACCCCTGGGACAGGGATGGAGACAGGGACAGTGTCACCTCCCCCTGCCACCCCTGGGGACGGTGTCCCCGCGGTGTCACCCCTGGTTACGGTGTCCCCGCGGCGTCACCCCTGGTTACGGTGTCCCCCCGCTGTCCCCGGTGTCACCCCTGGTTACGGTGTCCCCCCGGCGTCACCCCTGGTTACGGTGTCCCCCCGGTGTCACCCCTGGTTACGGTGTCTCCCCCGCTGTCCCTGGTGTCACCCCTGGTTACGGTGTCCCCCCGCTGTCCCCGGCGTCACCCCTGGTTACGGTGTCCCCCCGCTGTCCCCGGTGTCACCTGGCCAGCTCAGTGGCCACGCTGACGTTGGGGCAGGTGACGAAGGCGGCCGAGATCTCGGCGCTGTCCCCGGATCCGTCCCCGGCGCTGTCCCCGGCGCTGGCCGTGCCGGTGGTCGCGGTGGTCGCGGTGGCCATGCCGGTGGTCGCGGTGGTTGCGGTGGCCATGCCGGTGGTCGCGGTGGCTGTGCCGGTGGTTGCGGTGGTTGTGGTGGCCGTGCCGGTGGTCGCAGTGGCTGTGCCGGTGGTTGTGGTGGCCATGCCGGTGGTCGCGGTGGTCGCGGTGGCCGCGGGCGTCACTCGCCGGCCCAGCGCCGGCAGCAGCAGCAGCGACAGCGCCTGTGAGAGAGAGAGAGCGGCTGTTCTGATACCGGCCTGTCGCGATGGGGTGTATCACAACACCGTGTCACGATATCGGCCTGTCGCAATGGGGTGTATCGCGATAGCGCTGTGTCACAGTATCGGCCTGTTGCGATGGGGTGTATCTCGACACCGTGTCACGATATCGGCCTGTTGTGATGGGGTGTATCACAACACCGTGTCACGATATCAGCCTGTTGTGATGGGGTGTATCTCGACACCGTGTCACGATATCAGCCTGTCGCAATGGGGTGTAACATGACACCGTATCACAATATCGGCCTGTTGTGATGGGGTGTATCTCGACACCGTGTCACAGTATCAGCCTGTTGTGATGGGGTGTATCTCGACACCATGTCACAGTATCGGCCTGTTGTGATGGGGTGTATCTCGACACCGTGTCACGGTGTCGGCATGTCGTGATGGGGTGTAACATGACACCGTGTCACGGTATCAGCCTGTTGTGATGGGGTGTATCTCGACACCGTGTCACAATATCAGCCTGTTGCGATGGGGTGTATCGCGATAGCACTGTGTATCAGTCAGTATTAGCCTGTTGCGATGGGGTGTATCGCGATAGCGCTGTGTATCAGTCAGTATCAGCCTGTTGCAGTAGCAGTGACGTCAGCCTGTCGCGATACCGGCACGTCACAACAGTTATCGTGACATCAGCCTGTCACCCATCAGCCTGTCACCCATCAGCCTGTCACCCCTCAGCCTGTCACCCATCAGTCTGTCACACCGTCAGCCTGTCACCCCTCAGCCTGTCACCCCTCAGCCTGTCACACAATCAGCCTGTCGCACCGTCAGCCTGTCACCCATCAGCCTGTCACACATCAGCCTGTCACACCATCAGCCTGTCACCCCTCAGCCTGTCACACCATCAGCCTGTCACACTGTCAGCCTGTCACCCATCAGCCTGTCACCCGTCAGCCTGTCAGTCGCGATATCGCACAGCCGCCCGCCTGGAGGAGACCCCCGAGGCCACGGAGCCCCGAGAGCCCCGAGGGGAAACAGGAAACAGGAAACGGGAAATGGGAAATGGAAATGGGAAATGGGAAATGGAAACGGGAAATGGGAAATGGGAAATGGAAATGGGAAATGGAAATGGGAATGGGAAATGGAAATGGGAAATGGAAACGGGAAATGGGAAATGGGAAATGGAAATGGGAAATGGAAATGGAAATGGGAAACGGGAAATGGGAAATGGAAACGGGAAATGGGAAATGGGAAATGGGAAATGGGAAAGGGAAATGGGAAACAGGAAATGGGAAAAGGGAAACAGGAAAAGGGAAACAGGAAACGGGAAATGGGAAAAGGGAAAAAGGGAAACGGGAAATGGGAAAGGGAAACAGGAAATGGAAATGGGAAAAGGGAAACAGGAAATGGGAAAAGGGAAACAGGAAAGGGAAACACGAAAGGGGAAAAGGGAAATGGGAAATGGGAAATGGGAAACAGGAAACAGGAAACGGGAAATGGGAAATGGGAAATGGGAAATGGGAAATGGAAATGGGAAAAGGGAAACAGGAAAGGGAAAAGGGAAACGGGAAAAGGGAAACAGGAAAAAGGGACTTTGGCAGGGACAGGGAGCCCGGAGTGGGCACGGGAAGCGGAGAACAGCAAACGCACGGGATTCCCAGAGGAACCTCAAACGGGACACCGGGAATTCCCGGGATTCATTAATTAATTAATTAATCCCAGAGCGCCCCAGGTGCACAGGTCCCCGGGACACCGGGAATTCCCGGGATTAATTAATTAATTAATTAATCCCAGAGCGCCCCAGGTCCACAGGTCCCCGGGACACCAGGAATTCCCAGGATTAATTAATTAATTAATTAATCAATTAATCCCGGAGCGCCCCAGGTGCATAGAGCCCCGGGACGCCGGGAATTCCCGGGATTAATTAATTAATTAATTAATTAATCCCAGAGCGCCCCAGGTGCACAGAGCCCCGGGACGCCGGGAATTCCCGGGATTAATTAATTAATTAATTAATTAATTATTAATTAATCCCAGAGCGCCCCAGGGGCACAGGGCCCCGGGACGCCGGAAATTCCCGGGATTAATTAATTAATTAATTAATTAATTAATCCCGGAGCGCCCCAGGTGCACAGAGCCCCGGGACACCGGGAATTCCCGGGATTAATTAATTAATTAATTAATTAATCCCGGAGCGCCCCAGGTGCACAGAGCCCTGGGACGCCGGGAATTCCCAGGATTAATTAATTAATTAATTAATTAATCCCAGAGCGCCCCAGGGGCACAGAGCCCCGGGACCCCGGGAATTCCCGGGATTAATTAATTAATTAATTAATTAATTAATCCCGGAGCGCCCCAGGTGCACAGAGCCCTGGGACACCGGGAATTCCCGGGATTAANAATTCCCGGGATTAATTAATTAATTAATTAATTAATTAATCCCGGAGCGCCCCAGGTGCACAGAGCCCTGGGACACCGGGAATTCCCGGGATTAATTAATTAATTAATTAATTAATTAATCCCAGAGCGCCCCAGGTGCACAGAGCCCCGGGACGCCGGGAATTCCCAGGATTAATTAATTAATTAATTAATTAATTAATCCCAGAGCGCCCCAGGGGCACAGAGCCCCGGGACACCGGGAATTCCCAGGATTAATTAATTAATTAATTAATTGATTAATCCCGGAGCGCCCCAGGGACACAGAGCCCCGGGACACCGGTAATTCCCGGGATTAATTAATTAATTAATTAATTAATTAATCCCGGAGCGCCCCAGGTGCACAGAGCCCTGGGACACCGGGAATTCCCNACACCGGTAATTCCCGGGATTAATTAATTAATTAATTAATTAATTAATCCCGGAGCGCCCCAGGTGCACAGAGCCCTGGGACACCGGGAATTCCCAGGATTAATTAATTAATTAATTAATTATTAATTAATCCCGGAGCGCCCCAGGGGCACAGGGCCCCGCGACACCGGCACTCACAGCCCAGGCCGCTCTCATCGGCCGCCGGATCCGCCTGGGCTGGGGGGAAGAGTCAGAGCTAAAAGGGACCCCAAAAATCCCAAAAATCCCAAAAATCCCAAAAAACGCCCCAAAACCACCCACAGCACCAAACCTGACCCCAAAAAACCCAAAAATCCCAAAAAACCGCCCCGAAACCGCCCCCAGCACCAAACCTGACCCCAAAAACCCCAAAACCCCCAAAAATCCCAAAAAACCCCAAAAAACCGCCCCAAAACCACCCACAGCACCAAACCTGACCCCAAAAACCCCCAAAAAACGCCCCAAAAGCACCCCAGGCCCAAACCTGAACCCAAAAACCCCAAAAATCCCAAAAACCCCAAAATCCCCAAAAATCCCAAAAAACCGCCCCAATGGCACCCCAGCACCAAACCTGACCCCAAAAACCCCAAAAATCCCAAAAATCCCAAAAAACGCCCCAAAACCACCCCACCCCTAAACCTGACCCCCCAAAACCCCAAAAATCCCAAAAAACGCCCCAAAAGCACCCACAGCACCAAACCTGACCCCAAAAACACCAAAATCACCCCAAAAAACCCCAAAAAACCACCCCGAAACCGCCTCAGCACCAAACCTGACCCCAAAAAACCCAAAAATCCCAAAAAAACGCCCCAAAACCGCCCCCAGCCTCAAACCTGACCCCAAAAACACCAAAAACCCCAAAATCCCCAAAAACCCCAAAAAACCGCCCCAAAACCACCCACAGCACCAAACCTGACCCCAAAAAACCCCAAAAATCCCAAAAAACGCCCCAAAACCGCCCCAGCCTCAAACCTGACCCCAAAAACCCCAAAATCCCCAAAAACCCACCCAAAACCCCCAAAAACCACCCCGAAACCACCCCCAGCCTCAAATCTGACCCCAAAAACCCCAAAAATCCCAAAAAACGCCCCAAAAGCACCCCAGCCTCAAACCTGACCCCAAAAACCCCAAAAATCCCAAAAAACCCCAAAACCCCCAAAACCCACCCCAAAATCGCCCCCAGCCCCAAAACCCTGCCCAAAAT